AAAAGAAAAGAAAAAGCATTGTAAAGTGTACTGCACAGGGCATTTGTAGGGGCTCAGTAAAGGTAGCTATAAGGTAATAACCAAGGAGATTGGTCTGAGAGGATCAGCTGTGTGGAGCATCTATGCTGAAAGTGTTTGGCCCCTACCCTATCAGTGATAGAAAGACCTACATCAAAAACAGTCAGGGCCGGCCTTGACCTTTGTATTCCTGGAACTACTTCCTCCCTAACAGATGAGAAGTCAGAGGCAAGTCCAGCCCCAGATTCCCTGGCTGACTCAGACCCAGCAGACCTGGCTCCTGCCCTGGAGGACTCCCTGTCCCAGGAGGTGCAGGATTCCTTCTCCTTCCTAGAGGACTCAAGCAGCTCAGAGCCTGAGTGGGTGGGGGCGGAGGCTGGGGAGGTGGCCAAGGCAGAAGCGGCAGGAGCAGCCTTCTCCCCTGGGGAGGACGACCCTGGGATGGGCTACCTGGAGGAGCTCCTAGGAGTTGGGCCTCAGGTAAGGAGAAGCCATGCTGGGTTTGGAGGTGGCGTGGAGTACCAGGGGTGGGCGGGGTCTCCTGGTCCTAAGCCACAGTACTGTGCCGACAGGTGGAGGAGTTTTCCGTGGAGCCACCCCTGGATGACCTGTCTCTGGATGAGGCGCAGTTTGTCCTGGCTCCCAGCTGCTGTTCCTTGGACTCTTTTGACCCCAGGCCTGAAGTAGAGGAGGAAAATGGGGAAGAAGTCTTCCTGAGTGCCTATGATGACCTGAGTCCCCTTCTGGGACCCAAATCCATGACCTGGGAGGGTGCAGGGAGTCTGGAGGAAGAGGCAGCAGGGACTGGAAAGCAGGCTCCAGGACAGGCCGAGGGAGAGCAGGCAGACCAGGAGGCTCATCCTGGAAGCAGATGGGACATCAGGGAAGAGGCCGAAGGGAGTCCAGAGACTGAGGTGGAGGCAGGAATAGCTGCTGAGGACAGAGGTGGGGCTGTGGGAAGCCAAGAGATAATGGTCAGTTTGAGAGAAGGCAGTGGGACAGAGACAGAGGATCAGGAAGAAAAGTTCGAAGGTCAGAAGGAGGCTGACAGTACAGAGGAGACAAAGGGTGTGGAAGAACCAGGAGGAGAGCAGCATGAAGACAAGGAGAAGGAAAGAGAGACTGAGAGAGAAGAGGAGGTTGAGCAAGGAGAGAAAGCCCAGCTGGATGGAAGGGATCCAGAGCATGGGGCCCAGGAACACCAAGTCGCAGAGGAAAACTGGGAAGTTGTACACAAACAAGAGGCTGAGGGAGGCAGAGAGCCTGATGAAGCCAAAGGGCAGAAGGGAAATAGGGACCCTGAGGGAAGGGAAGACCAGGGAGATGGTGAAGACAGCAGAAGCCCAGGAGCAGTTGAAGGAGGGGCAGGCAAAGTTAGCAAGGAACGGGAGAGTGGAGATGGAGAGGCTGAGGGAGACCAGAGGGCCGGAGCTGACCGTTTAGAAGAGGGTACCCTCTCTGAAGTTTCAGGCATAGAATCCCTGGAGGTTGACTGTGCCAAAGATGGCAACACCCAGTCTTCTGAGATGGAACAAGTAGTCTCACAGCCACCTCGGCCAGAGGAGATGGAGCCTGAGGGGCAGCCTAGTCCAGAGGGCTGGAATCTGTGCCCCTGTCCCCTTGGTTCCACTGCTGGTGTGGGCATGCGTCTGGCTTCTACCTTGGTCCAGATCCAACAGGTCCGCTCTGTGCCTGTGGTGCCCCCCAAACCACAGTTTGCCAAGATGCCCAGTGCAATGTGTAGCAAGATCCATGTGGCACCTGCAAACCCATGCCCAAGACCTGGCCGGCTTGATGGGACTCCTGGGGAAAGGGTTTGGGGGTCCCGAGCTTCTCGATCTTCTTGGAGGAATGGGGGAAGTCTTTCCTTTGATGCTGCTGTAGCCCTGGCCCGGGACCGCCAAAGGACTGAGGCTCAGGGAGTTCGGCGGACCCAGACCTGTACTGGGGGTGGGGACCACAGTCTCATCTCCAGAACTTCCCCCTGTAGCATGATGTCTGCCCATTCTTCACGACCCCTTAGCTGTCTAGAGCTCCCATCTGAAGGCACAGAAGGGTCTGGACCCCGAAGTCGGCTTAGTCTGCCCCTCAGAGACCCTCAACCTCCTGACCCCCTTTTGTCCCCTCAGCGCAGATCATATGCATTTGAAACACAGGCTAACCCTGGGAAAGATGAGGGACTATGATTAGGACCAGAGCCCTGGGCAAAAGGGACCAGTATATTGTCTTGACTCTCCAGGGTCCCTGACTAGCTGTCTCTTCTGCAGCCTGAGCAGCAGTAATGCCCAACGCTGTAGTCTCCGGCTCTCCCAGCTTCCCTTTTGACTGTAGGAGGCACTGCCTTGGTTTGTTTACTTGAGGTTGTCTCAGACACAAAGCACTTATCTCTTAGGAGATTCACCAAGATCCTATTCCCAGGGAGTGGGTTCATTGGCCAAAGGAAACATAGGGTAGGCAGAAAATTTGAGTTTCTCAAAGTGAGGCAGGAACTTCCAGCCAAGTTCTTGCCCTCCTCTCAGGCTGTGAATTTCTCTTCATTGACACCGAGGGTAAAGATGGGGAGGACAGTCCCAGATCAGAGCCTTCCATATACTCCTAGAGTTACCCATCCTTGTTCTATACCTTAACACTCAGATACCTCCCAGTCCTTCTAGCTCACATCAGAAGGAACATGTCCAGGAAGGTCTTTGAAGCTCTAGGTGTTTGTTAGAGGGATTGGACCCCTCTTCAGCTCCCCTACCCTCTGTCTCTAGGTGCCCTTGGAAGAGGGATCTTGCACAGAACTCTCTGGCCTCTCATTTTCCCTTTGAAATAACTTCCACCTATTTCGGGAAAGGGGAATGGTGTTCTTCATCACCTGGGACTGCATCTCCAGACAGGCTGGGGTCATGGGTCCCATTCTAGTAGGGATCAATGTCTCAGAATAAAAGCTGTATTTTTACATGTAGTGTGGAATCTTATAATTTTTATTAAAGTTTGGGTGACAGGTGTCATATTTTCATGTATTTGTACAAATGCTATCTTTGTTTTGTGCTGTTTAGGTGTTCTTCCTCTTAGTTGTTGTCATGGAGACCGGGGCCTAGAAACTAGAGCTAGGTTCACAGCGGTCAGGAAATAGGGAAGAGAAACATATTTACATAATGCTCATTATGTGCCCGGAACTAGGCTAAGAATTCTTTTTTTTTTTTT